GTTACTTTACTAGTTACTTGAAAAAAGTAATCTGATTACGTAACTTGCGTTACTTGTAATGAGTTACCCCCAACACTGTATCACTTATCGGTTCTCGGCTCATTGCGAGTAACGTTCGTGTATTTTCTGTCCGAATCCTGAAAGAATTATCCAGATCGTTTTTGCAAACCGGTTCAAACGATTAATTGAAAGATCCCACTCAAAAAGAACAATTTCCTTCAAAAATGAGTATTTGCTATTTCCAGAAATACAGTTAAACTTCTCATGGCTGTTTTAAACCACATGAAACGGTTTTAAATGACATACAATGCAATGAAAAAAATATATATACATTTTTTAACACCACAGACAGTGCAAGAATCCAAGATTTATATGCCAAATCGAAGGTCTCGATCAAGCTCTACACACTATGCAAGGCTGGTACAAAATGTATAAAACTACATTTAGTAAATGTCGTCTTGACGTTTATTATCAGCGTTTTTCAAAAAGCTGGGCGGTCCGAGCCAGGGTTGCCAGGTTTCAACAACAATGCCCTCCCAATTGCTACTCAAAACTAGCCCAATCGCATTTCGAGGTGAGCTCCCCGTTAAAAATCGCGCTCTGGGAGCTAAAATACACGTTTTTGGCGGGGTTCCCCTGGTAAAATTCGCACTCCATGGGCTAAATATCACGTTATCGGGGTCGCTTTAACCCGCGGCAACAGTGATAAAGTAGCTCAATTCCGTGGGGAAACCACGGACTTGGCAACACTGGTCCGAGCGTCAGTCCATTTGCGATCTTCCGGTGTGGGCGGAGCTTACATTCTGTGTACGTAGACAAAAAAATCGACGTAGTTTTCTCTTCATCCTCAATAGTTTGAGTTCGTAGTATTTGTGACCGTCTCCAGCTCATTTTTACAAACCACCAGCATTTGCAACGATGGTCGCCAAACAGAGGATTCGTATGGCCAACGAGAAACACAGCAAAAACATCACCCAGAGAGGCAACGTCAAATCATCGGTACGACAACTCTTCTTGATGCTCGATAATGTAACAACAGAAGTGAAATTAACTTAATGTACGGTATTAACTTAACTGATTTTAAAGTGAAGCGTTTAAAGGTATTATTAATATTAGGAATTATTATTTTTGCAGTGAAATAGTGGTTCTCAATACTGCTGTGTATGCTTTTATTGCTAAATCCCACTGCGCTACTACTAACTACAATACAACTAAAAACTGCGCGATTGCATCTGATTTCATGTCAATTGACGCAGAGAAACGTCAGTGATGATAAAGTTTCGGTGGGACCGTGGCTCTTGGCGCTCTTCGTCTTTGTTGTCTGCGGCTCAGGTGAGTACTTACCAATGCAAACGATTTCCAAGTGATCTGTCATATCTTAGACCAAATAATAAACACATGAAAATAAATAGTATTTTATTTTTATACTAGCATATGTTGCAGTTTTTGTTTAGTCCAAGGTAGGTAGACAAAGCTGACCTCAACTCATTTTTTGGCACACTGTAAAACCTTGCACTGTATTGAAGGCCGAGATAATAATGCACACTATTTACATGGACAATGCTGGACTGATAGCATGACTTTATCTGCTTATTTTCACTGGGTACAACACGTGGATCTGCAGGTGCTGTTACTCTTAAAACAGCATTGAAGAACATTGCCAACAAGTGCTTTAGGTACTCCCAGGAAGAGCAATGGATCTCCTTGCCAGCTGGCTTGGAGGCGTTGAGACATAGCTTAAAGGGGTCATATGATGCTTTTTTTAAAGATCATTATTTTGTGTATTTGGTGTAACAGAATATGTTGACATGCTTTAATGTTCAAAAAACATTATTTTTCAAATACTGTACATTATTGTAGGTCCTCTATGCCCCGCCTCTATCAAACGCTTCGTTTTCTACAAAGTCCCTCCTTCCGACAAGCGCAGTCTGCTCTGATTGGCCAGCTGATCCAGTGCATTGTGATTGGCCGAACACCGCAAGCACTCGTCGGAAATGTAATGCCCCTTACCATAATCGCGAGCTTCATCTTTCAAAATAAATGTAAAGACAGAGCCCGAAAGGGGAACAGAGTGCAGAGTGACAGACACAGTGATGAAGCTGGTATGTGTTTGCAGTACACAAGCCACGGTTAAGACAGCTGACTCCACTGTGATGTGACCCCTCTCTCTCTCTCGCTCGCGCACAAACACACACGATGCGCAAAACTCCGCATTTGAACAGTCAATAGCAAATACTTAAACTAATAACAAAACAGTAGCTGATTCAGAAGCGCCAGATTGTCATAGCAAAGTCAGAATTACCTCCTCTCCTAGGTTCA